ACAAGGATAACACCTGCTAATGTGCATGTGTCTGTTTTCGCACACGCTGTCAAATGAAGTTTACCATGAAAGGCTATGCGTTTGGCTGCAAGTGCTAGCATTAGCATCAAAACTGAAGTACAAAGCAAGTAGGTTCTGAGTGCTTTTCTACAGGTGATTCTCTTTGCACAAAGCTGCAAATTGTGCTTGTGCACTCATAAACACACACACACACGATCCTTAACTATGATCTTTTTTTTTTTTTTGGCTGAATCAAAGAAAACTGAAAGGTTGTTACTGTTAGTAAAAATAACCAAGAGATGGATGGTGCAGGCGAACAGTGATGGGAAAAATGCTGACTGTAGGTCTGAATGTCCTGACATGTGGTACCCTTCAAACCTGTGCTCAGGTTATATCTTCCTCAGCGAATGCTGAACTACATCCAAAATGGTGCTGCTGTATAAAGGTTTATCACCATCCCCGTGACAGGAGATTGTTATGGTACTCAGCATGGGTGCAGTTTGGAAAACTCCTTTGGATAAATGTCGATTGCTATGTCCTTAAAATATGGTAATTTAATCAGAGGTTTATGGATTACTTATTTTCTAATCCATATATGCCTGTACAGTGAATCATGCATAAATACAAAAAGGCATACAAAGTATAAGCGCATACATGTAGAAACACGCACACTCTGCTGAGTCATCGTTTCGAGTCACCAAATGAAAGCATCTTCTGTTGGGCAGGCCTGAGCGGTTTGCTAATGATGATGCTCAGAAGATGAAGTTCAGCTCAGCGTTGACATGACCACAGCAAGCTGGAAAATACAGTCGGTTTTATTTAAAACCTTCTTTTTTTTTCAACAGAATTAGTGTGAAACGGCTCATTGCCTCGATCACTGCTTATGTAATGCAGGAATTTCCACAATTATTCAAAGGTGATATTTGATTATGCTCCTCTGGTATCAGAGAGCAAATAAAACAATTATATTTCCTGAAACTGAAGCTGACACGTTGCCTTAAAAAAAAGGTTCAGTCCATTTCAGTGCTCCCTTAATAGTGAACCTCATTTTCACTACATAAGACTGCACCCTAGTGGTTAACAAAAGCACCCGCAGAAAGATCCGCTACTCCGTTTCAGCATCATAACGATGAACAGCTTCATGTCTGTCAGATGAAGGATGACTCACTGAGATGGTAATAAAACTCCACTAGCAGGGGTCTGAAATAATAACACAAGAGACAAGGGACGAAAAAACTAAATCCAAACACTATTCGAAATTGTCACATTGAGCAATATAAAAAAAGTTTTTGTCCAGCGATGGCAAAGCAAAACAGGTGTAATTGGGTGACAGTGTGCTTAAAAACAATGAGCAACAATAGTTTGCTATTACCCAAACTCCTTCCCCACATATTCTACCTATTATCAGTGTTGTTGCTTGGCAACAAGGCATATTTTTATGCCTAAACCTCAGCTACTCCAGAGCGTTCTCCACTGACACGAAAGCCTGCCAAGCCTGTTGTTACAACGTTATCAGATGATTTGATGTTTGTTTCACACACTGATGATATCTCTATTAGGGTGCCGGGTGAAGAACAAAAACCGAGCAAAAAAAACATCTCCTGACTGACGATAAATGGACAGATGCCCAGACTGGCAACAGACAAGCCGCACTACTGGCAGAGATAACACGGGGTAAAAAATGAAGGATGGGAAACTCTGGCTGCCTCACAACAGAGAGGAAAAACACAGTGAAAGTCGAGCATCTCGCCCAGTTCCTGTTTTATGTGCTGGCAGCTGCGCTGATAAACCCTTTACATGCAAACACACCGCTCTGACTAACACCCAACTAAAAGGCCTGCTGAAATGGAATGCATGCATTTTACAAAAGTTTAAATAATATCAATTATTCAGTGACATCTGCTGTTTGTGAGGAGAATGACCCCTGGCAGTGACGCTCCGTGAGTTTAAAATGAGTTCAGGGAGAGAAATGAGCATGGCTAATTCACTGCTGTGCTGATGGGACAAACTGAAAGGGAAATGATAAAGCTGTCTGTCTGTCTGTCTGTCCGTCCGTCTGTCTGTCTAAGGGAACAATGCAGACTATGACACACACTCTTAAAAGATACACATTTAAAAAAAAATATATATATATATATATATATATTAACATGTTATAATAATAACAATTATTATTATTATTATTATAAGTAGTAATGTTTTTATGTAGAAATATATTACAAAAATATAATATAATCTTTTATAAAATATACTATTACAAATGTGGTATCTACTTCCTCACACTATGATACACATTTAAAAACAATGTATACTACTTCAACTAATAATAATAATTTAAAATTTAATAATAATGTATATATGTAATAATACATGTATTATTATTATGCATGGTTTTAAAATGTGCATCATAATGCAAGGAAGTAGATACCATTTTGAGTTATTATTATTAAAAATGTGATTCACATTTATAAAATCATGTAGTACTACTACTACTACTTACATTTTTATTTGTTATTAAATACAATCACTGTTAACAGAAAACACACAATCACTTTTAAATAATGTAATAAATAATAGTTATTATCATTATTATTCATGGTTTTAAAATGTGCATCATAGTGCAAGGAAGTACATACAATTTTTAGAATAAAAATAAATATTTTATAAAAGTTTATATTTATTTCTTCTTCAAAATATAGCCTGTTATTATAAAATATATTATTATTCTAAAAATGGTATCTACTTCCCCACACTGTGATGATGCACATTTAAAACCATGTATAATAATAATAATAACAACAATAATAATAAATCTATTACCAAATATAACCATTATTATAAAATTATTAACCATTAAATATTAAATTATTAACCATAGATGGTGCTATAAATGTTAAACAATTTTGAAAACCATATATTTCCTTAGTAAATTACCTGTATTGGCTGTAAATGGTCTATGATCTAGATTGTTACAGGCTTGCTGTCACGGTTTGGGTTTTGTTTCTTGTACATGATTCCCTGATTGTCATGTGATCCTGCCATGGGTCTCTTCATTTGTTAAAGGAACACGCCAACACGTGCGTGCTGTAACTCTGTCTGACGCACCCACCGCTAGCCTAGCTTAGCACAAAGACTGGAAGTAAATGGCTACAGCTAGCATACTGCTCCTAATACGTGACAAAATAACGCCAACATTTTCCTATTTATATGTTGTGATTTGTATAGTCACAGTATGTTCTTGTGGTGTCATTTTGTCACGTATTAGGAGCAGTATGCTAGCTGTAGCCATTTACTTCCAGTCTTTGTGCTAAGCTAGGCTAGCGGTGGGTGCGTCAGACAGAGTTACAGTACGCACAGAGATGAAAAGGGTATGTATGGACTTATCTAACTCTGGGGGATACAGTGAATAAGCTAAAGTCCCAAAAAGTCGGCGTGTTCCTTTAATCGTCTGATCATTGTTCACAGGTGTTCCTTGTCTTGTAATTAGTGTGTGTATTTAAGGCGAGACACTATGAATAGGGTAATTTTTTTAACTAGCAGATATCACCATGAAACTTCCCCAGTTGATTACCTACATTAAGATGAGAAAAAAAAAATGTATTACAAGTTTTCTGTTAGGCATTATCTAATTAAATATGCGCTAATTTGCATATATTTAAAAAATCTGACTATTGGATAAAGCCAGGTTCAAAATTCTTTTTGTTCACATATTAGATGGGGAAAAAATTACAGAGGGATTTATGGATATCTACGTTTGTTATTCTGTAGATCAGAATATACTGTCAATAGCCATAAAAAAAAAAAAAAGATTTTCGCCATGTTTTTTGGAAAAAAATTGTTATATAAATCAGGCTAGGAATAATATATTTACAAATCCCTCAGTAAATGTCTTCATAATATAACTAGGTACACGACTGGAAAGTTTGGTGTATACAGGTGCTACTGAAGTGGAGATTTTGGACTTGGGAGTGTGAGAGAAAAGTCATTTTGAGAAAACGGGCTTTAAAGATTTAGCATCAGCCAATGAGATTGCGCATTTAGAGTTAAATCCCCCCTTTTACTATCACGATTGGTTGCTGATAAAAAGGAAATGACCATATTTGGATCCGACAGCATTGTACAGGAGAGAGAGAGCTTTCTAACGGTGTGTGTGATGACAGGGTGCAGACAGCGATCGCGGAGCAGCGGGATGATTTATATCGCCAACTTTTGATGAATTTATGAGAAATCTACAGATGCAAACAGACAAAGTGTAGTAAAATAAAGACCTAAATGTGTATTTTGGACTTTTTTCCACCACAAGTCTGAAAGTAGACATGGTATTGAAGACAAATATCCCAAAATCTCAAAAGTGACCAGTGAAAAAAAAACAATGTTTTTGCCTGCCGTGTCTCGCCTTAAGCCCTCATGTTTGCCCTGTGTGTCTTTGTCTAGTATTGACTGTTTGTCCAGGTTCTTGGTTTGAGTTCTGAGTTTCATGCCTTGCCATGCCCTTGTTTTATGTTTGATTATGTTTTGAAGTAAAGTTGCATTTGGGTTCTCTACCAGCTTGCCTCCAGTGGATTCATTCGTTACACTTGCTAAATGAAACATAATACCTTTTTAAGCATGTGTTTAAAGGCCTTATTAATAATATATAATAATGTGTATTATTAATATTAAAAAATGTGACGCACATTTTTAAAACCATGTACTAGTACAAATGCTACTGTTATAAGTTATATATACATATTAGTTTTGTTTCAAATGCAATCATTATTATCAGAAAATATACAATCACCTTTAAATATTGAATTATTTATGCTACAGTATAAAGAGTAGATAGTAAAGGGCAGGGAAAGTTAACCGGGCATGACGTAGACCAGTTTGGACACAGACTTCCGTTGCAGACACGACTCTCCTGCATAGTGAGCATGAGAGCTACAATAACAATAAAAACTTAAAAAACTAACAAAGAACGCAGTTTGCTTTGTTAGAAGCTGTAACCGAAAATCACAAACCCTAAAAGCGGGGTTGGCTCCCAGCTCCAGCAGACACTTCACCGCAGAGATGCACAGGTTCGAGGCAGCGATGTGTAGAGCAGTGCCGAAGTCAAAATCACTGCAGGTCGCATCCACCTCTGAAACCCAACACACCACATACAGGCATCATCATCATCACACACACGCGCTTGCCAAGGGACTCAAATGGAGATTTCGATTCCCACTGTTTTTTCCATTATCTCTCCTCACCTCCCGGCTGTGACGCCTGCAGAACCACTCGGATGAGAGGAGGGACGTCGAAATACGCGGCGTAGTGGAGAGCGTTCATGTTGGTCCAACGGCTGCGTAAGGACGGCTCGGCTCCCAGTGACAACAGCTGACGGGCCAGACTGGACGCGCTCTCAGCGTCGCCTGCAATCAGATGACATGTTCCTTTTTCTTTTCACTAGTGCTCGAATAATGATCTGTCCTTCAGATCACAGACATGTTAATCAAAGAGATTTATTTTCAATCGTGAGCATAGGAATACACGCTCACCTATTCCAGGAGCTCCTGCCTTGCAGCAGTAGTGAAGCAAAGTCATGTCAGTAAGACCATCTCTGTCATTGACACCACAGCCTCTCTTCAGAATCTACAGAGCAAAGCAAATCTCACGTGAATGGATACAGAGCAAGGACATCCAGCTAAAGATTACATGCTGACAGAGACACACACTTGTCTAGAAAGATAATGTTGCAGTTCACAAAGCCTGACACTAAACGCACAACGGGGGGGGGGGGGGGGGGGGGGTGGGGTATGTGTGAGTGTGTTTTATGACAGATGCAAGAAAACGTGAAATTAAAATTGACTGTTTAGTTGAATAAATGTCCCTGTCCTTGTTATTTTCGAAAGAAGAAGAATAAGTTTACTTTCACAATCTTTCACTGAAATGTAATTACATTCATTGCCTTTTAAACATTTTAAGGAAAAATAAAAACACCAATTAAATTCGTACATGTCATGTATAGTCTTTTGTTCGGTCCAAAACCTAGTTTGCAGGGTTTCTGACCTAAAACCCGCTTATATAGGCATTTTTAGGGCACAAACATTGCTGTGTCTATGTATGTACAGTGTTTATGTTTGTTGAATGCTTATTAGAGTAGGGCACACTAGGCTAAAGGTGCCCTGGTGTAAAAGGGACATTTGATTTGATTTTCTTCTAAACCACTATATGCCACAAAAACTCACTGCAACACATTTGATGATCCTGGAAATCTAGTATATCAAGTTTAAATGCATGAAAATGAGCTACCGAAAAATACCGAAATGACCTTTCGGTTTATTTAGTAACACTTTACAATAAGGTCTCATTTATTAACATATTACCTAACAATGAGCAAGACATTTGTTACAGTATTTATGGTAACACTTTAGTTTAGGGTGCAATTCTCACTATTAACTAGTTGCTTATTAGCATAGGATGTTGGCTGTTTATTGGTACTTATAAAGCACATTTTAAAGCATTATTCTGCATGACCATATTCTACATCTCTTAATCCTACCCAATACCTAAACCATAGCTGTCATAGCTTTTGGGTTAAGCTTTCCGCGACTGTGCAACTGGGTTATAGGTTGCCAGGTTGAGATGACAAAAGGGTTGAAATTGTATATGGTGTGTTGATTGTGTGAATATAATGCATTTAATACAAGATCTTGCAACTGGTCAACATTAGACAAATATATTGGTCCGATTATTCATAAAGGAGTTTGGGCAATGCAAATTACGGGAGTTTCCCGGAAGAAATAACAAACCGGGAGGGGTCCGGGAGATAGGGCTAAAAAACTGGAGAAACCCGGGAAAAACTGGAGTGTTGACAGGTATGACCTAAACTTAACAACTACAGTTACTACCTATTAATAAGCAGTAATAAGGAGTTTACTGAGGCAAAAGTCATAGTTAATAGTTAGTTAAAAGTTAGAACTGGACCCTAAACTAAAGTGTGAAATATTGTTTTTGCCTGTACGTATTATACTGTATATATATATTTTTTAATAAGTAGTAGTCCTGGTGTACAGAGGATATAGCATAAAATATGAATAAAATATCTTAAAAAACAAAAATGTTTCTTCATATGTTTCTTATGGTCAAAAAAAAAAAAAAAACGAAATTCACAAACCTTTTTTCCTGGTATTCAGGGGGATATATTTGGAAGCTTGTTTCCGCCACAGAATAAAACATTTTAAAAGATAATTGCGACTTTTTATCTTACAATTACAAGTTTACATCTCGCAATTCTGAAAATTATAAAGATACTTTTTTCTCGCAATGGCGACTTTATATCATACAATTATGACTTTAAATCTCCCAATTGTGTGTTTATAAAGTCAGACTTGCAACATATAAACATGCAATTCTGAAAAAAAAATCAGAATATCGAGTTTATTTCTCACAATTCTGACTTTATATCACGCAATTCTGAGATGTAAACTCGCCATTGTGAGAAATAAAGTCACAATTACCTTTTTTATTTTTCATTCTGTGGCGGAAACAAGCTTCCATAGATACAGTATATCATGTGAAAAGTCGATACAATAATTATCGAGACGGGCTACATTATGTCTCACATTGTCTTTAAAGACCACAAGTTTGAGATTCTGACCTCGTTGCCAATGACACTGATATTCTGCTGGACTTGGGGAACCCACTGCCTGAGAACAGCGAAGAGCTCGGGCACAGTGGTCCGAGGATCCAACAGAACCTCCCGACACAGAGGATCATTCAGGTCAAAGAACGAGAACTCTGCAAAACAGAACGGTTCAATCAAACTAAACATTTGCATGAGTCAATATATAAATCATTTAAACCTATTCATCTCGATTTATCCATGCTGAGCCAGAGCCCCGATCACTCAAATTCAGTTAAACAGCTCAGTTTGAAGTGAATTAAAGTGAAGTGTGAGAGTGAATAAGAAACGAGTACAGAGAGAGAATGATGTATCAGTGCTGACAGGCAGAAAATTGGAAAAGAATTTCTGTGACCTTGTCAATACTTCAGCTTTACAGCAGCTTAAGCAGTGTCCACAATTTAGGGTCTAAAAATGTACTCCATAAATAAAGCTACACTTCACAAAACAGCTAAATAAGTTGTTTGTTTATTGGCCAGAAAGCCTTACGACCAAAAAAAACCCCCCCGAAAATCCATCTCTGTACAGCCGCGGGCGGAATTTGATGTGAAAAATAACTTGAGTGTCAGCATTTTTGTGTGACCTACTTAAAAGCTTGCATTAGAGCATTCTCACAGAAGCTAAACGTTTAACTGAAAGTGAAAGAATATCTGAAACTTGACGACGTGTACAGACCCACAGGCTCACCGCAGTCTGAAGGCATGGGCGCTGATGCCACCTGATGGATCACCGGTCGCTCAGAGTTATGGGTAATAATACTGTACCGCCGCAGGACCGAGTCTCCCTCTGAAGACTCCCTCAGCACATCCTCCTTGGTCATCGCCCCCTCACCACCTAAACACACATATATTTAGAACAAAACACAGTAATAGTCACATATAGGGGAGGCATTATAGGCTAAATAAACTGGATAACAACGATAAATAAATGATATACGATTTCAGTATTGACAGTGATCCAAGTAATAATATACACTACCGTTCAAAAGTTTTAGATCGGTAAGATCGGTTTTAAAAAAAAGTCTCTTCTGTATTTATTTGATCCATAATACAGCAAAAACAGCAATATTGTGTTCAGTAAAAAAAAAAAAATGTTTCACAGACCAGAATCCAAAAACTTCTTTGGCTTATTTATATGATTTTGAGCACTTTCTTGTGCTTTTGGGTCAGTAGTGGTGTACGTCTTTGAGTTCTGACATGGACACCGCATGCGTTTATTACGCGCCTTACTATGCAAGCTGAAACCTCAGTACCTGTCGCCACCAAGTTTTGCTGCAGGTCTTTTGCAGTCACTCTAGGGTTTGTCTGAACCTGCCTTCTCATAAATCTGGTTTCAGCTGTTGATAGCTTATTATTCTGCCTAGTCCAGGTAGTGAAACCAATGTTCCTTTAACTTAGAACTTGTGAACTATGCTTCCAACTGTGTCTCTAGGAACATTTAGTGCCTTCGCTATCTTTTTGTATCCTGTTCCTTGTTTATGAAGGGTGATGAAATCTTCTCTTAACTTTTTGGATCATTCTTTTGACTTAGCAATATTTCTTACATAGAGTCAAACGTGACACTCAACAAACCCAGCCAGTTCAGATATTTCATGTGTTCTAGCTCAAGCACACCTGGCGCAACTAATGAATCCCTTGATTAGTTGCATGGGTGTACTTGAGACAACACCTGTTTTGCAAATTTGTGCTGTTGTGAGGGATTCAGGTGAATAATTTTGAGACTGCAAGAGTCAGTTGCATTTTCAGTTGAATTTGGGGAAACCACTTGAAACATTTGTTGTGTTGAGCTATTTCAATTACTTTAGTTAGATTTGTTCATTGCAAGCAGCTGACAGTCTGTAAATGTCGCCAATAAAGCTTATTTGCAATGGGGGCTGAATCATTTTGATTACAACTGTAAGAGCTTAAATTCAATGTGAAATCAATATTAATCCTATTTATAACAGTAATATTTGGAAATACTGATATGATTTCACACATTTGTATTTATTGTAATGTATTTTAAAATGTAAAAGCTATTTTCTTTAAGATAACTCTATTGCCTTCAGTGTCACATGATCCACATGATATGCAATTCTCACTTTTCACAACTCAATTAACAACCCATGGGTAAAATCAATTTGTTCCCTACGTGTTTTTTTCCCCGTTTCACTCAGACATGTCACAAAAAAGTAGCATTATGCAAACTTGTATTAATGCTGACTTTAAGTGTACATAAGATGTGTATTTACAATCCCCTTCTTGTAATGTAATCATAGTCTACTTAATTCAGTGCATTCATTCATGTTATGCTTTTTATGATTTATTAATATGATGATATTTGATGTGTGTATTTGATATGCAAGTTTAAATAAGTTTAAGCTTGATGTTGCATGCAGGTGTAATGTTCTCCATGAAGAGAAGAGTCACCCTGGGATTTATGACCATTACTAAGAAAAGTGGGGTGGTGATGGCGCAGTGGATAAGACACATGCCTTTGGTGTGAGAGACCCGGGTTCGAATCCACTGTGAGACACCAATGTGTCCCTGAGCAAGACACTTAACCCCTAGTTGCTCCAGAGGCGTGCGACCTCTGACATATATAGCAATTGTAAGTCGCTTTGGATAAAAGCGTCAGCTAAATGAATAAATGTAAATGTAAATGTAAAAGTCTGAAAAAAAAAAATACAGTGCACTGTATGAAATAATTAACTGCATATACTTAGTGGAACACATCTTGTTGCTCCAATTATGTGATCTTCCATTCTTCCATCAGAATTGTGCATTCGATTTGGCATATGGCTGTAAGTATGGTTCTGTATTTTTAGATTTGAGGTCTGAGGACCTTCAAACTTGCTGTATTACTCTCTTCTGCCTTTGTAAATGTGGAGAAAATAGTTTGTTGAGAGTAAAATATAAAACTGAAAGTCAATTGTACTGTTTGTTGAACCTTTATTTCCTAACAGCACAAATCATTTCCTCAGACATTGTACACACTAGCTATGCTAAACTGATCTATAAAAAACACCCTTCTGTCCAATCATCCAAAAAATGTTTTAATACAATAAATATTAGTGGGATCCAATGTTAAAAACATGTGACCAAAATAAATCTTGATGGTTTAAAGTTTAAAATTAAAGAAATTAAGACATTAAATTAGTATTTACACTTTAGAGTTGTATTGTAAAATAAAATTATTTTGTATTAAATATTATTAATAATTATTATTATTTTATTTAATTGTATTAATTATTTATACAATGCAGTTTTACAATAATTTCTTATTTTGCTTAATTTATTTAATAATAATAATAATTTTAAAAGTTATACTGAATGGTACTGTATTCTTTTTTTTCTTTGACCTTTGTTATTAAAACAAAGACAGCAGCAGGTTTATTAGGCTGCTGTCCCTTTAAGAGCTGCACGGATCCAATATACTATTACACATGTTTTATTTCTCAACTAATTGTATGATATAACAGACTATGTTTACTAGGATACTCGTCTTGACCGGCATTTTTGACGTAATTTTGTGGGGGGAGTCATACAAGTTCAAGACTGACATGAGAGTGAGTAAATGATGTTGGTGAACTATCCCGTTCATGTTACTGTGATGCTCTAAAATAGCTGTCAGTGAGAATAAGGCATTACTTGTCCATCCACAATAATACAATGTCCTACATTATCTTAATTTTGTTTTGATTAGATTTTTTTGTTGTTCTTTTCAAATAATGATGATACAAGTAATTAACTTCAATGAATGCAATTAATACGCATATGTAATTAATAACATTAAAATGAAAACAGACAGCCCTAGTCATTAATAAAGTCACCAGAGCTCGCAATCTCAATTTACCGACATCATTAGCCACGGCATCACTGTGAGCCTCAGCACACTGAATTACAAAGCTGCTTAAAATATCACACTCGCTCAGCTTTGGGTGTAATAAAAGAACACTTATTCTGCGCCCGAAAAACAGATTAGAGAAGGCTGAAGCGAATATAAAAGACGAATTCAAATTGTGCATCCACAACAAATACAGAACCGGTTAGGATTCATTAAAAAAAGAAACAATGAGCACACAACACTCACCATCACGGAAGTCTGGCTGTCTGTTTTGCGTTTGCTCAATAACTAACATTTTGGTAGTTTTGTCCTGCTAATGATGGGTTAAAATGAACCTCAACAGAGTAAACCCTTCAAGTTCTGCATTTCTGCGGACTCTGCCATCACCAGCCACTGTCCATGAGGCTATTCATGAAACACACCCTCGTGAAAGGGCAGGGTTACTCTTTGTTTGAATGTTTTTAGATTTTCTACTAACTAGTAGAGATGGGAAAAGTCGTTTAACAAGTTTATTACTGATTAGTGAGGTCCACCAGTAAGTCAGTAATGTATGGTTACAGCAGGTATATCCATAATGAGGTTTGAAGTTACATTCACAAGTGGACTGTCAGCACAGCAACAACATGTAGTTATAATTAAGTAATCATTTGGCCCATGTGACCGAGTGATTTGAATGAGATTTGGTGGCATGGAAAGTACAAAGTGTGTGAAACGTGTGCATAAGAAAAAGTGTTTGGTTGGTTCGTTGAATACCCTAATTTCAATTTGCAAATAAAATTTGCATTTATTTAAAGGAATGTTATGGGTCCAATACGAGCTAATCTGTAACACGCTTTCTATTATCACAGAAAAGAATCCTGACTGACTCAAAAATGAAAAAGAAAAAAAACAAGGTTACAAAGCTTATAAAAACAAGCTAAGAATGAAAAAAATAACATTCACCCTCATGTCATTCAACTTTTCATTTGTGGAAAAAATTGTTGTGGTAAATGAATGAGTGGAAAATGTTTTTTGTTTTCAAAAACAATGAAAGTCAATGGGGTCCAAAATGATTTAGACCTCATTGATTTTCAAAATATCTTCTTTTGTGTTCCTCAGAAGAAAGAAAAGCATACCGATTTGAAATGAGGGTGAGTAAGGGTATGTTTGCACGACAAGGATGTACTAAAAAAGTTTTTCCTTCGCATACAGACGACAATGTTGTCAAAGCGATCCCTGTTAACACGGATCCACGAAAACGACTAAAAACACTGCTTTCTGCTGCCAGGCCAGTAGTTAGTTGCCGATGTCACATTGTAAAGAACTTGCCTATAGACATGCGTATGACATCACCATTTTCACAAATTCACATTTTTGTCGTTTTAAAAATGTTTCACTTTGAAACCCGCTTTCAAAAGTTTGCGTTTTCAGGCCCTCAAAACGCTGTTGCTATGTAAATGAGCAGCCAAAACACGAGAAGATTTTCACTTTTAGTTGAAAACTGTGTCGTGTAAAAAGCCCCTTGATGACAGATATTTTGAAAACTGAACTGAGATTCCCAACTAGGGAGATTCCTTCTGAATGCAAAACAGTCTAGGTTCACTTGATTTGCATAATGCCAAATATGTGTGATTACATAATGCCAAATATGTGTGATTTAAATTGTACAGATCAATGTACATAATTACACATAGATCCATGTATTGAATTTTTGTGAAAAATAACAGCATTTAAGAATCTAACAGAATATTTCAGGCAAATTTTAGGCAATTACGATTTTGAGATTAATCAACATTCATGCCTTGAATGTGCACGGCCTACATAAAAAACAAAAGTACTGTCTTTAAGTTTTATTTTTCTAAGTTGTTAACTTGTAGGCTATATACTAGCCCAGTTGCACCTTTGACCCATCACTTGTAGTCTGTGTGTACTTCACAAGCCGGGCTTAAATAAACTCATAATTCTGTCATCTTTACAGATATAACAGTTCATCCTCTCATTTGAATCACTGTGCCATTATTACCTTTGCATGGCAATGAATTATTAATAATGACCAAGAGTATGTGGCATAATGTCCATTATAAGCGAACCGCTCAGAGCAGCTCAAGGTGTGTCTGGACAGCAAAAACCTGAGTCAATACTCTTCTAATAGATCAGAGGTTTCAGTAACAAAGACAGCATAATAGTGACCAGACAGCTAAACACAAGACACGATTATACTGAAGTATACAAACAGATGACTGCACAAAGACAGGATTTAAGTTACCTACTGCAGAGTTTTATGTATTGAGAGAGCTTGTTATGACTATCAACTTTACCTTTGCTTTGTTGCTTTGTTGGTCAGGTCAGCTGGGCTACTCTACTAAACCTGAACAACAATAAAACGATCCGAAGAGAAAAAAGTGATTCCCCAGTAAACACGGCACATTCCCATGACCCGAGTATTTGGTTCCCATTTGGTTATTTTTGGGAACACAATAATAAAGGTCAAAAAAATGTTTAGGTTGTATTATTTACAACCATAAAATAATGTTCCTAAAACATTGCATGGAGGTTTTTCTGAGGCGACATAAAAATAACTTAAAAAGAACATTATCTAATCGAGTCAGTGAACGGTCAATGTGATTTTGCCTACTAAGATGTGTTGCTGAGTCAACATATTTTATTGATCCTGGAACAACTTTCCTTCCAAAAATGTAGTCCTAACCCTACCCATAACGTATCCCTAAAATCAGAGGGAAATGACAGGTGACAGGCTTCTACATCAGTGTTAGATGTAGAAGCACCTAACCCTGGTTGTAAGCCTAAACTTGACATAAACTATTAACTAATTCAATTTGATTGGTTGATTGAAATGTTGTTTCCAGGATCAACAAATATGAAACTGAAATTGAAGCTTGAGTCTTGTAGTGTGCAACTGACTTAACGCACACATTAGTTATTACTAGTTACAACCGAATGTTTTATTTCCAAAGAAAACAATAACGGATGATTGTCAATAGAATGCAGATACAGTATAATGCATATTAATGATCACTGCTAAAATGAATCACTTGTTTTTTTTTACATACAATTTACTCACAATTGACAATTTAAATCAAAACAAAATTAACAAGGCTGTCTGCATAATTTGAAACGATGTGCCTAATCTCTAATAATCTCAAAATAGGCAGATACAATTAATTGGCCCATCTAGTATATCATTAAATCACTACATATAATCAAAATCCACATAAATGCAGGACAATATCTAGTGTTATATGGTCATTTTAGCGAGTCACTAAACAACTAAACTACTCAGTACTTTTTTTTTTTTTAAACAATCAGTTCCTTGTGTGTTTTTGGACATATATAACTATATGTATCATGGTAATTGATACTATGCATCTTCACTTTCTCAAACTATCACTTTATCATGAAGTATTTGTCTTGTTAAGCACTCGGATGTGATAGTTTATTGTCAAAATTGTCTGACTGACCTTCGTAAATGTAAAACACCTTTAATTAGCTCGTAACACAGTGCTTGAATGCAATGGATCAGCAGAGCATTAGAAACAGATTAAAGCCTGATTATTGCCCAGTTTAGACTGTTATCACAAATAAGTAATTGCATGCATTGTTTCCCCCTGAAACTAACTATCATGTTCGTTTACTAAACAGAACATCACTAGAGTTCTGCACATACTGCAACAGCTTGTTGAAGGGCCATGCATCATTTCACACATCGACTGCTTCAAATACACAGCAAACACAGACATGACAGGGTCGAGACGTTCTGTTCTGACACGGCGATAAAATACCTGCTCCTTAATGAAACAGAAAAGCGCAGTTTCTCTCGTTGGGTCGCTAGCTTCGTGCTCATGTTTTCATTTTATCTTCTGGTTTCAGCGCCTTCGATTTGTCCGGATTCACTTCCGACATCGTGACGTAATTCAGACGTCACTCAGCGCATGGCAAAAACAAAACAAAAAAACACCTTCAGTATCTGTAATATTGCAATGAAGGGGTAAAATAATAATAATGATTTTGGAATTACTTTTATACTTTTGCACTATGCTTTTATTGGAGATCCCCAATATGAATTTAATTGTAACCCCTTTCCAAGCACATCCACTGTCGGGCCAGTGCTAGGCCAGGGCTTTAAACGGGCCGTGCCGGGCTAATAGCCTCGGGCCAGTAGCACCTGGCCTGCGTTTCCACTGTCGGGCCAGAAGCTCCACAGCGCGTCACTAAAACACGCCCGCAACACGCCTCTCTGGAACAACGTCACACTAACCCATCATTTCACCAACAAATGGAAGTTTTATCAGAAAACTAATCAGAAAGAAATCACTGGAAACAGCGTGCATCGCAAAACAAACATGATAAAAGCGGCCGTTTGCTGGCATTTTTGTTGTTTACTTGAATATTTAAAACCCAAGCATCGCTGTTTTACCACAGGTTTACAATAAAAAGTGATACATTGATCATAATGAATTAATTTATGTCAAAATTGCACATTAGTCACACAGAAATAAATGACCGTTAACGTTAGGTCTATTTCACAAAAGAAAGAGGACACACTTACATTATTCAGTCGAGGCTGTTTCTGTTTATTGGTAGTTACAGGACATATCACATTTAGAAACAATGATAATTTCTACAAATAATGTTATATGCCACCAAAAATACGACCTGAGGAGCGTTAGCACAGTCTCGACTCCCAGTAGCTACAGATATATTTTCAGTCAGAGAAACAGGAAGCTCCCGAAAAAAAGTAGATAGTCCGGTATAAAGAGACTAGGCTACGTAGTATAGGCTATGTAGGCTACTGACAGATCAAATAAAAACATGATTGTGATAGCCTTTATGATTGGTCTGACTTCTTCAAGCGTTCACCATGTTTTTTTTACTATGCGTATCTTCAAGCGTTTACTATGGTAATGGTTAGCGCGCATATTCTTTTGCATCGCGTAAATATTTCTACCTTATACGGTGATCAGAATCCACATCGGATCACAAACAGAAGGCATTAAAACATGAAAGTGAGTTAAATTATTTTAAAAGTCTTTAATGCTGACAGAATCATTCGGCGCTCCTGTCTCTCGACTCAGGTAATCCCCGCCTCTGTTCGTAACCACTCCTCTAGCCCGAGCTGGCCCGCTTTGGCCCAAGGTATTCGACAGGCCAGAAATCCTGGCCGTTGGCCTCGAGTAAGCCCCGATCAAGCCCCGGAAGTGACAGTGGAAACGCGACTGGCCCTGGCACGCACTAGCACGGCCCGGCCCTGGCCCGGCAGTGGAAACGCGGCACTGACCTAAAAGCATCCCTATGTGTCAACAAAACAAATGTTGTTTTTTTGTTAGATTTTTTTGTAAAAGACGTAATTGTGGACTAAATGGTATGATTTTAGGATAATAGAAAGCATCTCAACTTCTTAACAACTAAAATACTGAACTAAAATAAATGCATAATCCAGACGTGAATTCTCAGACGTAAGGAAGACTAGAGTTAATTCATTGTGTTTCGTGCTTCATAATACTCTAATGTATAGAACTAACCATAGCATCACATTAAGAGTAAATATTATGCACAGTATATCTATAGTGAACTAAAATAAAAATAAAAATGTTACTTAAAATAAAATAAACAACAAACGTTAACTGAAATATAATGAAATATATATATATATATATATTTTTACATTTTTAAATATATATATATATATATATATATATGTGTGTGTGTGTGTGTGTGTGCAGTGTGTGTGTGTGTGTTTATATAAAATATTAATACAAACTATAATAGTATCTTTAAAAAACTCTAATGAGTTAATAATACGGTCAAATGTAATCTCCAAATAAAACTCCAAAAATGTATTTGAATTTTTTTTTACAATATATATATATTTTTATTTTAATATTGGCTTTAATTTGTTATTAGCCATAATGGAAATGATTTGAATTTTTATATTGCAGTGCAGCTGACAGCATATTTCCTCCTGTGAAGCTCCATTTCCAGTAATGATGTCTAGGAATTACCTGCTGGCATTTAAACACCTGAGTGCCAAGAACAAATGTCAAAAGTATGCCATTTAATCTGATAAAAAAGCGATATTGAATGTATTCAAAATACCATTAAGTGTGTCTCTAAAAGATAGTGAGACAGGTTCACAAACTTCTTTTTGTGAAAAACCTCTGAACCATGAAACCTCATTGATTGCATGAATGATAGTCAAAGGCTAGACTGATAATTCTCTGTTTTACTTACCAGTTGTACCAGTTTAACCCTCTTCTGTCCAGAGTAAGTAAATATCTGTCAGCCTTCGTGAACGTCCTGGTTGCGTATGCAACCCACCGTTCCCTGAAGGAGGGAATGGAGGACATAGTCGACGTCGACTGAATGGGGATCACGCCAGGGAGCCAATTATCTTCGAGTACTACTGAACGAGCCAATGGGAATGGAATTGGCGTGCGTGATGACATCACACACTCCGCCCCCGCGGTGCGGGTATAAATACGGAAGTGGATGCACGCACTCGTTGCTTTTTTGCTGAGGAGCCGAGCGTAACTCGGAGTCAGCGGTGGTCCAGCTGTAGTGGCAAGGGGACTACGTCCTCCGTTCCCTCCTTCAGGGAGCGGTGGGTTGCATACGCAACCAGGACGTACCCTTTCAGTCGAGGACGTCAGACGTAGTCGACGTCGACTGAATGGGGATAACCATTGAACACGCCACTAAAGCTACCACCTTCCAGTTCCTAGACAAAAGCCCACAGATCCCCCCACAATTTAAGGCAGGAAGGGACAGGGCTTAGGCAAGGGAAGTCACTGCTGTTCCTGCAGGACCACTGGGAAAGTGTTCCCTGTACAAGGAAGGAAGGGACGCTGCGGAAGACACATCCTGCCCGAAGGGAGGTAACATGTAGAGAATACACATATGAACTGGGCGGATGACTGGGCAGTACAACATATGGAATGTCACTGGGGTGGCTCCAGCCTATGACAGGGGGGAAACTCAACCGGACAGTGACGGCAGAGCAGGCTCTGCCAAGGGAAGACACGGGCTTTACGCAGGGAGCCATGCCTTGGAAGAATACACATATGGGATCGCCGTAGGGATCACAGCATATGGACCCAGCCTAGAGGTCTGCTACCCGGCAGATTACTCTCTCCCAGTTGACCTGAAGATCCAACTGGCTATAGAGCACTCGAAGGGTAGGACTTGTACTGATACTTCGTACCCTTGACACAAGAAAAAGGGCCCGTTTCAATTGACACAGGTCCAAGATGGCCATAACCCACCACATATATTGGGTACAATGAAGTACGGGTTTATAGAAGCCGGTACTCATATCGGTACTCAGAGACTTTCCCTCTTGGGACCAAGGAACTGAGGAATTTACTCTTTCTTTGAAGTGTGGGTACCGCTTGCTCCGCTTCTTTTGGGAGCAGTGGTGGATCAGACACACACACAAACAAAGACTTCACCCAGCCCTCACCTGGGGGGAGGAGTGGATCGGTGACCAACTCCAAGAGCATCCTCCTCCATCCCTGAGCTGCCCGCAGAATGCTTTCGAAAGAGCGGGCAGGGCGTCCCTACTGCGGCCAGCTCCATGCTGAGGTGGCATGGGAACACCCTTGGCGACGAGAAGGTGGAGGCAGCAGCGGGCCGCCGGGGTAGGATGTGCCGGATGGCCTTCGTCTGCGCTTGGGCGGCAGAGAACTGTTGGACGCAATTCTCCACCACGTCACCGAACAGCCCAATCTAGGAAATTGGGGAGGCCAGGAACCAAACCTTGTCCGCATCCGCCATATCAACCAGGCTGAGCCAACGATGGCGCTCCTGGACCACTGGCCTGACAGACCTGTAGCAGCGCCATGCCACGCAAGAGGAGGTGGCTTGCCCACAGGCTTTGTAAGTAAGGAAGTAAGTAAGTAAGTAAAATGTATTTGTATAGCACATTTCTTAGATAAAAATCACAAAGTGCTTCACAACAAAAGAAAGAATTCACAACTCTTATAAATACATTACAGCACATAATCAAATTAAACACACGTACACATTAGATCAGCCTAACCACCCTACAGTCTAGTTAAAAGCTTCTTTAAAAAAAAAAGAGTTTTCAACTGGGTTTTAAAATTTTCCACACAATCCAAGCAGCGTATGGAAGGAGGCAAAGCGTTCCACAACCTGGGTGCCACACCATGAAATGAACGGTCCCCCCTAGATTTAAAATGTGTAAGAGAGGCAACAAATAGTCTCTGGCCTGTTGATCTCAGACTACGTGAGGACGTACGCAGCTGTATCAGGTCAGAGATGTATGGGGGTGCCTGTCCTTGTAGGGCTCTAAAAGTTAGAACCAAAATTTTGAAGTGCATTCTAAATTTCACTGGTAACCAATGAAGTGAAGCTAAAACTGGAGTAATATGTGCCCTTTTACTCGTGTGGGTTAAAAGCCTAGCAGCAGAATTTTGGACAGTCTGGAGACGACAAAGATCTTTCTTATTAAGGCAAATAAAAAGACTGTTACAATAGTCTAAACGAGACGAGATAAAAGCGTGAATGGTCATCTCCAACTCGGCTTTTGAGACCAAGGCTCTTATCTTAGAAATGTTCCTTAATTGAAAGAAACAGTTTTAAATAAGTTGTTTCGAGTGTTTCTCCAGAGACATGGCCGCATCAAAAACAACACGTAAGCTCCTGAGACTTGGCTGAACAGACAAACCTAAGGCACCGATATGTTGTTTTATCTGAGGGATGCTCTGCTCAGGTCAGGGGCAATGATTAAAGTTTCAGTCTTGGCTGAGTTCAGCATTAAAAAGTTGTCATTTAGCCACTGCTTGATCCTACTCAGACAGTTGATTAAATATGACAGTTTATATAACTCAGTAGGCTTAAAAGAACAGTATAACTGAATGTCATCTGCATACAAGTGATAAGAGACATCCTGAAACTGGCT